GTGATCATTAATAATTTAAATTTGTTTTTTATTAGTATAATTTTTATTGATGAACATTTGCTAATTTGTGTATGATTGTGTGCACGCTTCCACCCATATTTATGTGCAAAGGAACTGACAAATATGTTACTAAAAATCTTTTTAGAAGGATGCCAGATATGGAATGCTGCATAGCAGAGAGAAAAAACATGAGTAACTTTAGGATAGAAACCATTTTTAAAATCTATTGTCTTTTTTAGCAGTAGATTTTAGATAACTTGCTGTGTTACAGTTGTGGGTACCCAGCTACACATTAGACAATCAAGATAGTATGAAAGACCAAAGTCTTCCTTGGGGAAATAACTAGTTCATTTGACTGTCATTCAGGTTTTGGTATGAAACAGTTTATATCATACACAATCTGTTGCTAAAGAAACGTGAAATAAAGGTGTCAACTGTGAAAAATTAGGTTTGGGGTTTTATTTTTTTTAAACAGCATCTGATTGTTGTGTGTTCATTGGCTCTGAGGCCCCCATTGAAACTCATTTGATTGTGCAAATGAAAATGTCTTGAACTGCCAAATGTGAACAGTTGCCCTGGAAAATGGAAGTCAGCTGCTTCAGTCCTGGCTGATGCATGTGTTGTTAATAACAAAGATTTGACTGTTGGAAATGAGGCCTGGGTCAACAAAGGCATTTAACAATCTGACTCCTATGGAAGAGCAGGTTTGTAATCACAGTGAGATTTCAGCAAAATGTTGGGAGGTTTGGTTAAGTAGATAGATTCTACAGGGTCAAACTTAACTTTGGCAGTCTGTACTTCCATTTATCTGGGCCATTTTTTCAATGAATTTTAAATTCAGGATCTTACACTTTTGTCTTTTATCTGAAAGGGTACATTGGCAACTCCTCTCCCAACTGCTTTGCTTTCATTGACGTCTAAAGGCTTGTCTTTGAAAATAGGCAAACTCTTGAGTTAAACTTTTCTCTCTTTTTTTGCCTCTGACATTTTATTACTGCATATTTTGGTTGCTTTTCATCTCCAAGGTGATGAGTTTGCTACAATGTTCAGTTTGTATTTGCACTATAATGAGTAATTTTATATAATTGCCTGATAGATAGTCAGGAGACAAAGATCAATGATGCAAAATTCCATGCTATTAGGAATGGTTAGACCATACCAACTATACTGTTTCTCTGTGAACTTCAATGACTTTTGTCTTTGAGTCTGGTAGCAGAGCTTAAGCTGGACTAGATGCTTAGTGAACATTGTGGGCAAGATTTTGGGTACTCATTAAAAAACCATGTATTTGGGAGATTTTTTGGCAAGGTAAAGCATTTTTTTCTGTATCAGTTTATACAAGTTGGGTCTTTACATGATGTCTGAGTCTATTTTGCCATGGCAGCCTGAATACTGCATTAAATGCCACTGGCACTGCCAGGTTTTCCTGTGGAGTAATCTGAAGGCAGGAAGGTTGCATTGATTATAGAATAATTTAGGTTGTAAGGAACCTCTTCAGATCTGTTATAACACCTTGTCCTGCAACTTGTGTCCATTGCCCCTCTTTGTATTACTGTGCTCCTCCAAGAAAAGTCTGGCTGTATCTTCTCTATACCCTCCCACTATAATAGACAGCAATAACATTTCTCCTTAGGCTTCCTTCTCTTCTTAAGACCAAACAAACCCTGTTCTCTCAACTTCTTTTAATATCTTATGTGCTCCAGCTCTCTAATCATCTTGGTAACCCTCCAGGGAATTTTATCCTTTATTTCAGCATTCTGAACTAGGGAAGCAAAACTGGATACAGGATTTAAGAAGTGTAGGTATGTCACTTTTTTATGAGTTGAGGTATAGGTATGCATACTTTTTGCACCCAATCTAAGAAGCAGTTGGTTTCAGAATCTGTAGCTGTGTTGAATTTGAAATTTCAAAATGTGTTTTCCTTGTGAATCATAGCATCATAGAATGGTTTAGGTTGGAGAAGACCTTTAAGATCATCAAGTCCAACTCTTAACCTAGCACTGCCGAGTCCACCACTAAACCATGTCCCTAAGCGCCACATCTACACGTCTTCTAAATACCTTCAGGGATGGTCACTCAACCACTTCCCTGGGCAGCGGGTTCCAGTGCTTGACAACCCTTTCAGTGAAGAAATGTTTCCTAATATCCAATCTAAACCTCCCCTGGTGCAACTTGAGGCCATTTTCTCTTGTCCTACCGCTTGTCACTTGGGAAAAGAAACTGAGACCCACCTCGCTACAACCTCCTTTCAGGTAGTTGTAGAGAGCAATAAGGTCTCTCCTCAGCCTCCTTTTCTCCAGGCTAAAAAACCCAGTTCCCTCAGCTGCTCCACACAGGACTTGTTCTCTAGACCCTTCACCAGCTTTGTTGCCCTTCTTTGGACGCACTCCAGCACCTCCATGTCTTTCCTGTAGTGAGGGGCCCAAAACTGAACACAGTATTCGACGTGCGGCCTCACCAGTGCTGAGTACAGGGGGACAATCACTTCCCTAGTCTTGTTGGCCACAGTGTTTCTGATACAGACCAGGATTCTAGTGGCCTTCTTGGCCACCTGGGCACACTGCTGGCTCATATTCAGCCAGCTGTTGACCAACACCCCCAGGTCCTTTTCTGCCAGGCAGCTTTCCAGCCACTCTTCCCCAAGCCTGTAGCGCTGCATGGGGTTGTTGTGACCCAAGTGCAGGACCCAGCACTTAGCCTTGTTGAATCTCATACAATTGGCCTCAGCCCATCGATCCAGCCTATCCAGATCCCTCTGTAGATCCATGTGAATACATGCATCTGCTTCGATAATATTTACCAATGATAAAGTAAGGAGAATCACCTATTTTATAGTCATTTTATAATAGTATCTGAGACATTAAGCTTTCCACGGAGCTGTAAGCAGTAAAAATTTGTAATATTCCAGGCACCACTGTGAGCCAGTTGTAAGTAAATTACAGTTAAGTTAGTTTAACGTTACAGTTAATGGCAGCCACTCTGTTCTAAAAATTCTTTTAAATACTGCCTCTTTATTAGTGTTTTCTCTCACTTATATTCGTTACATTAAAGATGTGATAACAGAATTATTTATCTGCTGTTTCTATGAAGTAATCCAAATTATGTATTCTCTATCCTATAGTTTGGTTTATGGAAATTATTCTGTTGTGCTGGTGTCCTGGGTCTTATTTTTCAGCAGAAATGCTTTTCAGAGGTGATATTCTGCTGCCTTTAATTTTCCAAATAGGTGCTTTCTTTAATGGTGTTTACAGCTTTCAGACTCTTTGGGGTTTATATATTCTTCATTTGTAGTCCTTTTAGGAAAAAAGCAAGCTATTTAAGACATTTTTCAGGACATAATGAAAAAAATTTTAAAAAATTGTGAGAAGCTATACAATGTATTGATTTTCCTCTTGTGTCATCTCGTTGAGCTTTTGAGTCTCAATCACTAATTGTTAGATCTCATTTTGATCTGAGGTTTCAAGACTTTTAAATCTCGTGGAGAGCTTGTAAAATTATGTCCTGTGGTAGAAATTAGTTATCTGCAGTGCTTGTTAATTTTCTTTTAAATGACATAGATGAGAACATACTTTATCAGTCAGATGATGTGCCTCTCTTTCCAGAGTTTTGCAGAAAAAGGGCTGATCAAATTTAGGAGCTGTTTATAAAAGCTCAGATATTCTTCTTTTTAAAAAAATCTATTTTCAAGGAACATGGTTCCAGTACTTTTGGAGTTGCTGGTTGAAACCTTGATCAGTCTTGCTAGGAGCTTGGCCTTAATTATTGTGCAACACCACTTCACCTATGGTTGTTTCATTTGAAGATTATGAAGTTGGAAAAGGAGTGTTTTCAAGTCTCACAGAGGATCCTGCCTCTCTCTTGAATTTGTTTCTGTGTGGTGCTCCTATTCTGGGAAAGCATGAGCCGAGCTGTAAAGATGATAGAAGTTTTGCCAGAGGAGTTCCAGTGTAAGTACACAGAAGCTCACGTGCTGTATGTGCATCTGCGAAGGAGCCGTGCTTGCTCCACCTCCACTTCTTCCTCTCAACCTAGCCGAGATAGGGGCTTCTTGTACAAAATTGCACCAAAGCCACTGAATGCAGCTTTGGCCAAATACAAGATGGTGCTGACATTTGCATGTGCTTCCAAGCCCTTTGTATTCAGTGCCTTTCTGAAGTCAGGGAATTAGAAAAAAGAAGTCCAGTGGTCTTCCTGTTACAAATACATGCTATCTTGATTGATGCATCACATGAAATTATTATTAATTTCTTTAAACAGATAATACTATCTTTGTGTTACATTGGATATTGCCTATCTTTTATTTTAGCACTTGTATAACCTGTTTTGAAGCCCTTTAAAAGTAGAGATTCTGCTTTTCCGAACAGTTTATTTCAGTGCTTCACTGTTCTTAGAGTAAGAACAGTTTCCTAATTTTTTCTCATTTCAGTATGAGCTTGTTAGTGAACTCATACAGGAGTGAGTAGAAAGGGAAGCTTGCAGGTTATGTGCCTGTGCGATTCTGGTATGATTATTGCCCTCGATAATGACACTGTCACTGCATTGTCTAACATCCCTGTACCTTCACAGAACTGGCACTGAGCTGGTATTCAAAGCTATCTTAGCCCACTTTTGTTCTGTTTTGTATTACCCTATTAAATTTTATCCTTTTTGTTTTCAGATTGCTCTTAATTTGTCATTTTGAACTCTGGTACTGCACCACATGGTTCTGCATTTTTACAGCTTCCAGACTTTTTCCCCCTTGTGTTTTACAATGGTTCAGGTACATTTTACCTTTGCATCTTCATATTTAACACTCCTCAGTGGAATTAAATTTTTACATTCTGATGATATCAACTGCTCGAATTATTATTGTTAGCCAATTCATGGGTTAATAAACCAAATATATAACAATAACCTTTGATGAATCTCTAGCTTGCAGTTTTGATTTGCAATAATAAAAGTTGTATGTATTACATGCTTTTCTTCTCTCTGAAACAAAATTTTCCTTAATTCCAATTTACCCTTCCTTGAAGCGTGAAGGGGAAGCAAGCGTGGAAGGCGTTCTTAATCAACTGGTCCTGGAGCATCTACAGTTGGCTCCTCTCCAGTGGGGTGAGTAATGTCAAAATCTATTGATGATCTTTTTAGAGGATGTCCTGGCTTGTAATTTTCAGCAGCAGGAGAATGGTAATGTTTTCATTTACTGACAATCTGTGATACAGGAGAATTTGCTAGGAATTTTATTTTCATTTAGATATTTTACTTAGCTGAAGATAAATGTAGAATTAATCTATTTTATATTAAGTATCACTGTTCAGTGATAGTAAATATGAAACCTGAGTATGCACTTTTCCCTCTAATTTGGAGTCCTAGTTGTGTTGTATGAGAGGTGGCTGCTACTTAAATTTTCCTTTTGCCTGACAATGTGTGGTTTTAAAGTAATTTCTCTAAAATATTTTCATATGGAATTGTAATACACTTTGTGGTATATTCCTTATTGCGATCTAGATGTTTGCATTACTAACTTTTTAGGTACAGAAAATGTTGTTACTCTGTGCAGTGGGGAAGATCAATTCTCTTAATTTTGCATTTAGAATGATGTTCCAACAATGAAATATTGAATTAATTTAATTTTGAAGAGTCGTAGTAATGTGACTTCTGTCTGAGGTTCTTAATAAGGCTTGTTCAGAGGCTTTGGAACGTGGGATGTTCTATCCCCAACACCTGTATGCCAGTTACAAGTTTTAGAAAAAGTTCCCAGTTCATCAGAAAATAGTTTTGAAAGCTTTTGCTTTTAAAGCAAATTTAACTTTATACTCCTTATTTTAATTAATTTGATGACCTAGAGAGGACCAATTTTAAGGAACAATTATCCATCACTATTGTCTGTGTTAAATATTAAAACTAAAATGACCCCAAACTCTAGTATTTGTGTTCTCTTTTAAATGCTTGGATTTTTTTTAAGCTTGTGGACCATCCTCAACTCATATGTTAAAACTTGTAAGCACTTTGTTTGTAGATGAGAAGATTAAAACTGGTAATGGTATAAAGTTGTTTGTTGTAAACATGTTGAACTTTAACCATAATATTCTGTCTCTGAAATCATGCTTATCTGGCCTCTGTTCTTCAGAGGATTCGAGTATTTGGTAGCACTTACTTGTACAACTGGCTTTGGCTATGATTGCCCTATACCTCATCAGTAAAACAAGTGGTTTGTGTCAGATGCGTGTTGTGAGCTCAGACAGGTCACCTGAGAGTCATCTTAGTTCTGCGGAGTGGCATTGACCTTCAACAGGTTTGTAACCTGGGCTCTGTATTTGAAAATTTTCCCTTGGCACTTTTGCATGGGAGATTGCCTTAAGGATGAAAACCATAGTTTTTTTTCTTTTCCTGTTTCCTTGGTTTTCTTTTAATTTTCTTTTTATGCCAAATTCCACTATTTTGTTAGCAAAAGAGGCTTTTAGAGTCATAGGATCGTATCTGGTATTTCTGCCTAAATGGTGATATTCATAGGTACTTTGATGCACTAGTTGAAAAACATGAACATAGCACTGATTTACAGTACAATCTGGATTGCCTGTGGAGTTGGTAATTTCTCGTGCTGTTGCTTAATTCAGTTAAAGAATCCCGGTTACTTTAGTTTTCAGAATGTATTAACACCAGCCAAACCTCTGTGGTGTTCTCTGCCTCATAACTGCAAATGCTCTTGAAGCACAATCTCTTGACTGATTGTTAATTTTCTGCATTAAATAAAGCAGGGAAAGGGAGATCCTGTGGCAGATCAAATACTTGGTTTGCCGCAACTTATATATATTTCCTTTTGGAAAGTTCTGGTGGCACAAAATACTGGTTTTGCAGAAGTCTACTTTATTTTTTTTGTCTAATATTTTCTCAATCTGAAATTACTATTGAATTTATTATCTATTTTGTGTAACACAAAAAATATGTCCATGTAGAAGCTGTAGCTTACTGTGGAGATTATTGAAAAGGACATTTTGATTAAATGCCTGATTTCACTTGAAAACAAAAAATGAAAATTAAAAACAACAGAGACATTTTAGTTTCTTTTAATTAACCATAACTTCAAATATTCAGCAGTTAAATCTTTGCTACTTGGTTTCACAGTGTTGTAGCCAGGTAGCCCTACCTGCAGTCACCATGAGGAAAGCTACTGCGGTCCCTTCAGAAAGTATACCATGGCAATATAGGCTAATTTTGGTTTGATTAATGTGTGGGATGGTGGAGGAATTAAATGATTGGGTTTTTTTCAGTTTGGTAGGTGGGATAATAAGGAGTTGTTGGAATGTCTGGACAATCGAGTGTGTGTGTGTGCGTACACATGTATTTGGACAACGTGACATACTGTCTTTCGCAGTTTAAATTGTCTTTCGGTGCCAGAATGTATTTCCTATTCAAGTCTTATAGGCATGGAAAAGTGTTGTGTTTGAAATCATCTAAGATGTAATGTGAGTTCTGTCTTCCCTGTGTTTTTTTCCTCTTGATATTCTGAAGTGATTGACCTTAACTCTCTTGCAAGAATCAGCTCTTTTAGTGGTAGTGATCTGTAACGAGTACCAATAATGAGATAAACGTATGCAAGCTGTGTTAAAAATTCTTTGACTGTTAACATCTCTACTACAAGAGAACTATAATCTTAATATATATAATTAATAAGGCAATAGTCTACAGATTTTCTTTTCTCGTCCTGCCGCATCCAATATTTTGATGTTATTGATAAGAAGGTACTTAAAAAATATTGTAATATTGTAGTGTCAGCCAGATGGTTTTTTCCTCTTAGTCATCACACTGTTTGTAGTCACAACCTTGCTTTGCTTTGAGTTTTGCTTTTCTGTATGTTGAGTAACTTGCGTTTTAATGTGAGCCCTTTACTACTAGCCATCATTGTAACATAATCTTTGCATATATTGGCTAAAATTTTTGCCTTAGTGTTATGCAGTAACATTGATTCTATGATTATTCAAGCCTTTTGCTATATTGATGGTTACATTGAAGGGTTTACTTTATTATAAGTGCTCACAGTGAAACATGAATGAATATTTAACATGGTTTTGATTAAAAAAATGACTGGCTCTTGTTCAAATTTATAAAAGCTGGACTTCAAAATTCCTTTTAAATTTGGCATGTTTAATTCATATTAGAGTTAATATTAAATTTCTAAAATTATAAAAGCATATTGAAATAATTTTTCATGTAAATTTGACAATCCTGTCTTTTTTTCATTAAATGCAAGGCAAAGAGTAGAATTAAATGTTAGTGGCATTGAAGTTTTGGTCTGAGGGTAAGAAGTCAGCTCTGAAGGTTGTCAGAGGAAAAAAAGTGGCTCATAGTGAACACTGTTGGTTGTGATTTCATACAATTAAATGACTGGGGAAGGAAAAAGTATTTAAAATGAGGAATCATAAAAAAGAAAATATGTCAAAGGCTAGAGTGAGAGTTCTTAATATGTTGTTAAAATTGATTTTAAGATTTAGGACATCTCTGTAAAATGAAGTTGTCTATTAGGCAGGTTAGTAAATCACACGTAATTGAAAAACATAATCTTGCTCAACACCACCAAGTTCAGTGTTCTTTAAAATTTATGACATATTTTCTTTTTACTGCTGGGCAACAAACCAAATGTAGCAATAGATGTGGTTTTAAGGTGAATATATTAATATCATCAAATCAAGGAAACATAGCCTGCAAAGTTTAATGAGGAGAACCAAGACTCTTCAAAGGCATATGTCGTGCAAGTTCCGTGGTTAGATTTGAAAATGATCAGATGGAGGCATTTGTAGTTGCTGGCTGTGCGATATTTTCTCAATCTTTATTTGATTTATGTTGCTAAGTTTTGCAAGCAAGCAAAATTCTGAGACCGAACACTTATCAGTTTGATGGTACTTTTCTGCATTTCATAGCAAAATTATCATAGATACAAATGCTATGCACAGAATGTTGTTATTGAACTTGAAATAGACTGAGTTTGAAATAGGCTGTTGATTGAACCTGGGATACGCTGGACTCAGGATATTCCTACATTCAAATGAGAAGTACCTCTTAAGCAAAAGGTGCCCAAGACTTTACATGCTGTACACAAATTTCACAACAGAAACTTATTTTAAATTCTCCTGCATAAAGCAAAATAAACTGAACTTCCTTCAGGGCCTGCAGCCACAAGGTAAAGGTATCTTTTCCTCGTGATCCTCGTAAGTGTAAGAATGAAGATTTCTTAGAGAAATTTGATTTAGGAATTTAGAACTGTAGACACCTAAAAGTGCTAAATGTTTTAATATATGGGGCAAATACTTATCTTTCTCTTACAGAAACTAACTGAATAACTGAAAATCAGTGATTATACATGAACTCTAAAGATGGTATTTTCAGTAATATTCTAAGAAACATATATTTGTCAAGCTTCACTGTGGGAAAAGTCCAGAAATAGCTTTTTGCTCTCATTCATTCTTTTATTTCATTCACTCATTTCATTCATTCTTCACTTCTTCCTTCATCATAAACATGAATTTCAAGACAGTTTATAATGTTTAAATTAATCATGGATACGTTTTTGCAATGCAGTGCATTTCATTTTCTAGTATGTGATTTAAGGGAAAACTAACAACACTGCTGCTGAATTCTGCCCAGATCATAACTAAGAAAAGTGATGGTTAGTAACCAAGGTCTTAATTATTTACTTATAGGTAGAGGATGTTACACATTTTGTGGTGGGTTCACAATAAATTGTGTGTCTGCCTGCATCATGTAGGCATATTGTACTTAGAAAAAAATCAAAACCTCAAAATTGAAGGGTGGTTTTATGTTGTCCCTCATGGGTAGTTGGAATCAATAGGAGAGGTAGATTTAAAAGTATTTTGAAGTCTTCTATGAGCATGTGGTTCCTGACAGCTTTTTTGGAAGTTCTCTCTGGTTAAGTTTCACCAAACATCTTATGGAAGCATTACTTTTAAAATAAATTATCTTTATAATTCATTGTATGTTTTAGAGAGCACCAAATCAGAATCAATTTTCACAGCTTATATATTTCATGGATCTTAAAATTATTTACTGAAACTACTCACCCATTTTATTTCGCATTTTCCAGTCTGACCTTAGAC